TTAATAAAACAACTTCCTGTGTGATACACATGGTAAAGTGTAAAATTTCCCACTATTTCACTAATTTTAGCAAGCTGTGATTCATAATCACAAAATATTTGGTTACAAACTACGAAGCTTTGATCGATATTCAGTCACATATACGAGGATTTATATGACCATCCTTAAAATGCATTAAGTACTGTTTAATAAACGAGTAGGTGTGTTTTATCACATATAAAACACGATGCGTAGCGGAGTGTTTTATATGTGATAAAACACAAACTACGAGTTTATTAAACAGCTTCAAAAACGTCTCAGATCACGGCATTGGAGAAATAATTTTCAAAAATAACTTTGTATTAGCTGAGAAAATACAAATTGAAATTTGAAGCGTGTTTTATCACATATAAAGACACGCCACACTTATGATTTCTCTTTGTGTTTTCCTCATGAATTATTAATGATTTTTGAATAATGTTTAAAAGGTTGACTCATGAGGTCTCACTTTATAAACAGACATAAACCTCATTTCCAGGATGGCCTGTTTTCTTACATGTTTTCTCGGTAAATATCACTCTGAATGAGCAATGTACCTTTATAAGTGCACTCATAGTTCTGATACCACTGGTTTAAGTTGAGGAGTTAGGTCACATTCTTTTGTTTACTGTACCTTGATCATATGCTAATTATGTTACTGGTGGATTTTTGTACAACCTACATAATTAATCTACTCTTTTTTGTTGCTGATTTATTCCACAATGACACACTCCTTTCTGGGTGGCAAGTTACAGTACCAAGCCTGGCAAGCCACACATATCTTTGGAAACTGAACATACTGTATTTTAATACATGCTTCCAGAAATTATGTCACCTTGGCTATATATAGTCTCATTTTCACGATTGAGACATTGGACTTTAACTCATGCCACAAACATGAAAATGAGGCTCCTGTGACAAGGTGAAATACATTCTGGAAGAGTGTATTTGACTTTTATGAAAAATTATTGGCAGTAAAAAATTTAAAAAAACAAAAATGTATAATTTTAATTGCTATAAAACTTATTTACAGTTCAATAAAGTTATCATAATCGTATTTATGTTGTTATGCATGGTATTATAATGCCTCAGTGCCATCTCTTGTGTATATTAAACATATAATTTCTGCAAAATAAAAGATGACATTATTATCATGATACATTATTAAAGGAATACCGAATGGTTTTCCGTGCAGGATTGCGTGATCCGTGCACAAGGGATGTCGCGTAAAAATACTCGAGCCGCAGGCGAGTGTATTCTTACGCTTTCCGAAAGTCGAGCAACATCCCAAGTGCATGGATCACGCTATCCTGCTTGGAAAACCATTTGGTAATTGTTTTATAAAATAACTACAGTGAAACAATGACATTTTGAGAATCACACGAAAATCCCGCGTAGGCATTTTAATTCCTCGTGCAGGATAGCCTGATCCTGCACGGCTATTGGCCAATCAAATTGTGTGTTTCTCTGTAGTTATTATATAAACATCTTTACATCACAAAAATATCATATACACATATGTTAACCCTTCACAAGTGGCAATGTGTCTTGATATGCCTTACTGTATTATTTCAATCTACCTAATGCCAAACAATTTTACTAGACTAAGTCAAGGGGAGAGTGTAATACTGCAATCACATGATCTGTTTTTAGCAAGACCATTGATCTGAGCTTCAAAATTAAATGTCCAACCTCGTTCCCATGGTCTTTCTTACAACGGCGTGAGGCGAAGGAAAGACCCTGGTTTCGGCTGGTCATGTGTCACCCAGATTGTGGGTGATAAATTAAAATGATACTATGGGCAGGGTGGGAGAGGAGCGTGTTTGTCGCATTTGTAACAATATTTGCAATTTTGTGTGATGAAATTTAAATTTGCAACAAGAAATCGTGAAGAGAACTGCAATTAAAAATTAATATTTATCGTGATGTGACTTTCTGCTCTATAATCTAGTGTCGAGTTACAATTCAAGCAAGTTGGATCAGCTTTCAACTTGTAGACTTGACAAAGAAAGCGCCTGGGCGGCATGGCAATAAGCCCATAAGAAAATTTATATCTCTAGACCGACCAATGTGGTTTATATTTATTTAACTGTTAGTATTAAAGTATATCCTGATACTTGGACCAAAAGAATATAATATTGATGAGATGTGGAATTGGAACGAAATAGCAAGATCCTTTGATTTCCGAAATATCGCCAAGATGCCAACTGTATCGAGATTGTTGATTATAAAGGCCTTATCACAAAACTTAAATCCTGTCAAAAACAAAACTTGAATCCTGTCAAAAAACTATAAAATTTCCTGCAAGATCTCTACGATCATGGTATATGTCAAAGTCTGTTGAAAATCTGCTGTAGCTGTCTGTTGAAAATCCACGGTATTACAGTAAAGTCATACATCAAAGATAAGTCAAATGACAATATATTTGTCTTACTGTTTACTACTGTGTTTATACCACATTTATAAATTTTATAAACAGCTTTCTTTTTGACACAAGCTTTAATTTTCTGCTTTATATACCGGGTGTCCCAAAAAAAAGTACTCCTGTTTGATTCGTAATAACTTCTAAACAAGTAAAGCTTTTAAAGCGAAATAACTTGAATCAAATTGAGAAAGGACTAACTTAGATTTTGATATATTACAGTTGTATTTCACTTAAAAATTCACGGAGATATTAATCTTTAAAATTGGGAGCATATTTCTGGATGTGTCTGAAATATGGAAAAAGCGGCGTATATAATATTAATCAAGATTTGCCCGACTGAAACATGCACTATTACCAGTAAATAAATGACACTTGACAAATTGTTTATTATGAAACAAAGTATTATTATATCTACAAAATACAAGCAAGATTTATTGGCCCGAAATTCGCGTGTGTTCCTAGCACGAATACGTTTCCTTATTTCATGAGACCACTGCATCGCGAAGGATAGTCATGGATCGTTCATAGCTCTGAATTAGGGCATGCTGTCACAATGGAATTGTGAAGCTCTTCTAACTTCTGCAACGTTCTGAAATCTTGTTAAGAACACCCAAACTCTTTTGCCTTTTCTTAATCTTGGCAAGTTCAGAGTAAACTGAGAATTATATGAAACACAATCAAACCATATAACTCCATAAGACATAACAATTAAGCAACTCCCCAGAGACATGCAACATTTTTGGAACAAAACGTAACAAAATAGTAGCGTTGATATGGTGATGTGTATTTGCAAAAAGCAATATTATTTCCTTCAATAAAGAATAATATTCATCCTGCTCTAACCGAGAAATAATCAACTCAGTCTGTTTGAACCCATTAAAAACATAAAAAAAATTAGGCTATTTAATTTAAGAAAAATTTAATCGCCTGCCTTCCATGGTCAGTCTTTCATGTACTTTTAAGTTTGTAAAGACCTAATATTAAATACTTGCATAATTTCGAACGTTCATATTTCAGGAAACACTGAGCTAGCTATAAGACTTACATGTAAGACGTCTAAATCTATGCCATATCCCTTACAAACCCTAACTATAATTCTCTGAAATACAAGTTAGCCTGATATGTCATTAAAACAAACAAACGCTGGAAATAATATTTGATATGCCGATTTTCGCTAATTTTAGACACATCCCAAAATATGCTCCCGATTTTGAACATTAATATCTCCGTGAATTTTTAAGTAAAATACAACTGTAAGATATCAAAATCTAAGTTAGTCCTTCCTCTATTTAATGCAAGTTATTTCTCTTTAAAAGGTTTACTTGTTTAGAAGTTATTACAAATCAAACAGGAGTACTTTTTTTTGGGACACCCGGTATATTCTTAATAATACAAGTGAGATTTAAATTTTTTGCTTTGTGAAATAGAATTATACCGTTATTTTTTAATGAACAGCTTGTATTGTCTATCATATCCAGGATTGCTTGTGTGTAAATAGCCTACATGTATCACTATATATGCCACTATCAAATAAATCTAGAAATATAAATGAACTTATTGAACTAGAAATAAACAGATAGTTGAGACACAATGAAAACTGTTAGTAGCCTTAGTAGAAGTAGAAAACTCGAAAATTTATGTGTATTCATATGGCAGTCTGTGCGTGTCAGACACTGTAAATTTGTGATGTAGATTATAGCCTAGCTGTGTGCGCATATTAGGAAAACATTATCTGACCAAGAAAAAGGCTAAAGCCTTACTATAATTAATGAATACGAATTATGTACTAAATCCAAAATTTTAAAGATAAATCACTGACAGACATTTCTTAGGGATAATTCCAGTCTGCTAAACTGCAGGCATAATCGTGTTCTGTGACGTAGCACTTAAAAGGATATAAGCAACGTTCATTGGTTCATAGCCTGATTATATTTTGGGTTATGTAAGAAATGCTGTGATTGGTTCAAAATCCAAAATATTATAATTTAGCAGTGATTAAATATTCTATACTAAAAGCAAAATGGCGTCAACAAAATACACTCGCTCTTTTCCAAATGATCGTTGGAATGATGCTTTAGCAAGTGTTTGTTCTGTGTTTACCATCAAAGATCTTTATTCAGAGCAAAAAGAAGCCTTGGAGAACTTTTATGCTGGTAAACATGTGTATGTGAATCTACCAACCGCGTTTGGAAAATCATTGATTTACCAAGCTATTCCAGTTATGGATGATTCCCTCAAACTTTGAACAAAGCGTAGCGGAATAATTGTCGTAATCTCGCCTTTAAAGTCTTTGATGATTGAGCAGGTCACATTTTTAAATATGAGGGGTGATTACTGACATAATTCAACATGTATATTATGCAATTAAATTATGCATTTCACTATGACACATTGCATTCTGATATTCTGTCTCGTATTTCATTATGCTTCGCAAGATTGACACCTTGCATTATGCTACGGAAACACGCATTTCATTATGACACTGTGTATTTCATTATGCTCGCGTAACATTCAGCATGATGCTCGGTATTGTCACGTGGTAAATGGTAAAACAAACATGGCGGATACCGAAGGACGCCAGTTTGTAAGAGATCGTATTAGGAATTGTATTTTAAACATTTTACAGCAAATGCAAGTGGCGGGCGATGAAGGGGAACGTCTGGGCAATGTCCATTTTAGGCTGGAATGGCTGTTAAATATCGTCACTAGATATTATCAAACCGATTTAGTTCAGGAAGAAATTGTGAATCTTCTTCGCGAAGCTCTAAGAAATTTGACAGAAGTATGTGACTGTGCTGATAACGACGTCGAGGCTGAAGCAATTTTCACGGGCAATCGTGGACGCCCTAGCTATAACATTCCTTACGAACAAGTTACTTTTCTAGTTGAAAGGCGATTTAGCACAAAACAAATGGCCTCTATACTTGGTGTAAGTGAATGCACTGTACAACGACGATTACAACACTTTGGTATGTCCATCAGAGGAACGTATGCAACTCTAACAGACCAAGAACTGGATTCGACAATTCAGGAAATATTGAGGGTCCAACCTAACACTGGCAATAAAAGAATGACTGGTCACCTGGCTGTTCGTGGTGTCAGAATTCAACAAAGGAGAATCAGAGAGTTGATGCATCGTGTAGATCCAGAAGGAACACTTATACGAGCACTAGAATTAAACGTTATTAACCATAGACGTTATTCAGGACCTCTCCTTTGGCTCTCTGGCATATTAATGGCAACCACAAATTAATAAGGTAAATATTGATTTTCATGCACACAAATTATAAATTATATACACATACACACACACCTGTTTGCACGGCATTCTGTGGACTATAAAATTTTATGCCCTTCTGGGGACTTGTGTAAAAAATCGTGAAATCATCATAAAGGGGACGTGGTAAGTGTAAACATTGTGGGGACGGTAGGTTTTTGGTCTATTCATTGTGCAGACTCCTGATTTTTTAATGTGAACATTGTGGGGACTGAGCACGGTAGGAAAACCTGTAGCACTTATAATTTCATTGACAATGAAGACTTCATTTTTCATATTTTCAAAATGCACATTACCTATTTACACGTATAGCAATTATTAAAATATTTGGTTCAGAATTGACTCTAAGCCAGTCGCATAATCCAGTTTTCAAAGGAGAGGGGCAGTGCCCTAATTAATTGAAGGGGTGTTAGCACCAGCCATCTTTTTCATCAATTAAACGATTTAAAATTGATTAAAATACTCAATAATTCATAAACCTTGTGGCAAATCATGTCAGCCATAATATGTCACGTGGAGTGACTTTATATCTGATAAAGCATGTGGCATTATATAACTGTTCATCCTAATTAGTATGATTATATAATGGTTCATCCTAATTAATATTCTTTTGTAGTCGTATTTTAAGCTATTCAAAACACTCGTTGTCGTGTTCTATCAGACATAAAATGCTTGGCTGCGCCTCGCGTTTTATATCTGATAAAACACTCCTACTCGTGTTTTAAATAGTACTAAGTAAATTAAACCATTAAAAATTCGATTAAGAACATCGTTTCTGCAACCCCCAAAATTTTAACTGGCACTGCATAGCATTCTACTGGAGAAAGTGGTACCAAAAATACGTTTAGGAGACACATAGTGGTTAATACCATAAAGATAGAGCGAGTTTATATTGTTTATCGTTTATGTGGATCAACAACATTTCCTCGCTTCATTTATAACGTTCATTAGTTCCAACAATGTGTTAACCGTACATCCTGTGCCCAAGTGCAGGAGTTGCTCTGCAACTAGCAGGGTGATAACTGGGAGGGGCGCATTGGTTTCATACTTTCGTTCATACATCAATGATTGCAGCACTCCTATAAAGTTATCTGAAAATTTGTTGGGTAATACCGCAGCCTCCAGTGATATGTCTTACGAGAGTTAAGAACTTGAGTGATCACTTGGTTAGATCTAAATTGCTTGAAGAGAAAAATTGTTCAGTGGGAATGTTTAAAAGTGGAACTAAATAATGTAAATTTGTGATATATACCAGATGTACATGTTCTAGCAGTTAATTTCGAAACCGATTATTCTATATAAATTATCAGTACTTCATTTAGATTGCAGTTTAACAAACCGTTTTTGGATAAGGTTTTTGGATAAGGTTTTTGTGATATCAGGTTCCATTAAGGGCAAGCTAAGTGTCATTCAATAACTGTTTTATTATAAATTTGAAACAATAAATTTTTAAGAAAATTTATTTTTCACAATATATTTATCACGCGTACTCTATTAGAAACTCCGTATTATACAAACACTTGCTGCCAGTGTAGGTAGAGTCTTCGATAAAACTTGTATTTTACAGATAGTTTGAAATCTACACATCCAGAAGTTCCATATTAGACAGGGTGTCCCAAAAAAAAACGTAACCCGCATAAATAATTTTGTATTCGCTTGAAATTATTATTCACAATAGTTTAATGAACTTGACATTTCTGTGCCTCTGGGAGTTCATATAACAATATTATAGCAGGAAGAAGATGGCCATTTGATGACTGTTGTTTTATTTTGAGGTTCCTATTCAAAGCTGTCAAATTATTTAATTACCTTCTTCCAACGCATTCCTGAATTCATAATGCATTCCTGAATTTGGGACACCCTGTAGTTTTCGTAAACGGTTAATCAAAATTAAAAAGTTGTGCAACGATATAAACATTCTCTGAAGGTTTTCTGAGTGTTTTCTGGTTTTCTTTGAGTTTTTTTTTTTATTCAAGTAACTGCTTAATCTTGTCTCCAATAGCAATTGACAAATTTGAGTTCATTCTGTTTCACTTTTTATGTTTTCCCGCCTTTGCAGGCTGTCACATGACCTGCAGATAACTCAATTACATGCAGCTTGTGATTTCACTGCTGTGATAGCGAAATTCAAGTATAGATTGTTAGCCAATCAAAAGATATGTAAGCCAATGAAAAGACACGTTAGCCAATCAACCACAATGATTAATAATAGGCACAAGGGGAATAGAAATATTTCTTGAGGACAGCTATATGCTCATTTTATGGGCAAGTTCAGGTAATTAATTGAACTAATGTCAATTATCCAACCGAACGGCGCACGGCAAACAATTCAGAATATTCTCTTCATGTCGGCCCTAAAGGTTAAGTTCTGAAAAAAGTTCGATTGCAGTTAAAATTTGGGTCATTTGATTTGTGCATTTTTTCTTTATACGCACTTTTCTCAAGTGTGGGGCGTTCCCACGCAGTATAGAAAAAGTAATGACTCATGAATTTCACACCAAATATTACATTGAGGGCCGTTTCACAATATCAAACATGACCGTAAAGATCCGCCTATACCAATAAACTATGTGTAATTGCAAGATGTTATGTGTAATTACTATGGCAGTAAAAAATCTTGTACAAGACCCCATAATGATTTATGCATTTTTACACATTATACACTTCACTCGTAAAATGTCACTATCGGGACATCTACTTAGGCATATTTTCTCCTTTTTTTCTGGGATTCGTTTAAATCCCAACAATGTTTTCCAAATGTTTCAACTGAAAATTTTGGTTAGTTAAAGATAAATTAGTTAGTTAAAGTGCACATGCAAGTATTGGGGATTTTACACATTCGTGATATTACGAAGATTTAAAACGAGGTGCGATACATTTTATTTGAAAAAAAACTTCATCTTCTTGGTATTTCTGGCTGTCAAAATAAGAGGAAGCAACACAAATAAGTAACTTTGTGGCTAGAGACAAAAGGAAACTAATTTGCATTGCCTTGTTTTACGTCACTTACGGTAACTTGACATCTCGTAATACCCATTGCACTGTAAATGCATTGCACTTTCGGCTAAATCTTCAGAATATCACGAATATGTAAAATCCCCAATCCTTGCATATGCACTTGAATAGTTTATTGAAACATCGTCTCGCAGTCAGGAGACTGAATTACATGCGTAGTTACAAGATTAGAAAAATAGAGATATCATATACAATGTTAACTAGAATTGATAATATAAGAACGATTAGCAAGCTTGTGGTCATCGTTTGATACAATTTTATCAAAAGGTTTACAGGATAAATATTCACGCCTATTTTGAAGAGCGGAAATACCAGCATTGATAAGAGCGTCATTATACGTCACACCCGGGTAACATTATTTTCATTGCACGTTTTTGTATGCGTTCGATATCCCTTGCAAGGTATTGTGGCAAAGCACTATGAGATAATTGACATGCATATTCCTAGACCGACATAATGCAACTACAATAAAAGTTGACCAAGTCTACGTTTGTCACATCAGCACTTTGATGCTTTCAATGTAATTGTGCTTACATGATCAGACCATTTCAGGTGATTACTTACTGTAATGTAGCTCCAAGGGATTTAATACTCGTTACCCTCTCAAGTGTTTGTCCGCTTATACGTATTGGCTCGTATACAGCTGGTGGTTGAGTAAAGGATAATATAATTTCCGTACATTTAATATGTTAAGTTGAAAGAGATTGGTTTCTAGACCAGGTAGAAATGTGATCAATATCATTTTGTAGAACATTTTGTTCTGATTTATTCATGACTTCAGAGGCCGTGATATCGTCAGCAAATTTCCACATCATGGAAGAGTCTTTAAGAAAAGTAAAATCATTTATCTTGGCAAGAAACAGCCAGAGGCCAAGTCGCGTACCTTGAGGAACACCAGCTGGGACCTCTAACCACTGAGTTGGAGAAGCAGTTATCGTCTAATTTCACCCTCCGCAATCTATTGCATAAAAATTCAGTGATCCAGATCACAACACATGGTTTGACACTACGACTATATAGTTTAGCAATAGAAAGGGTATATCGACCAGGTCAAATGCTTTTTTGTAATCAAGAAAGACAGTCCTTACAGATGAGCCAGTGCCATCTGTTGCTTTTGACCAACAGTGGAACATAGATATCAATGCGAGCACCGTAGAGAAGTCCAGGATAAAACCAAATTGTTGAGGGTCAACAACCTTTAATATGGTTGGTTTAAGTTCACTTTCAATCACAAAACTTTCTGCTATCTTTGATAAGGTTGACGTTAAGGGGATTGGACGTAGCTCTTTCCCTAGATCCTGGACGATAGAGGTTTTGGGTAAAGGGACAACGTCATCTAGCTTACATATTTGGGGAACTTTACAACTGCGAAAGGAAGTGTTGATAATATTCGCAATTGCTAAAGAAAGAATGTCAGAAAAGGTTTTTAAAACCCTGTACGGAATATAGTTTTGCATCATGTTGATAAAAGAGTTATTATTGATCTTATTGCAAAGGATTTCGTCACACTCCTGACTTAGATCTTGATGGAGACTATCTTTCAGACTTTTTCATTAGATTTAGACGTGCCACACAAGAATGTTAGCAACCTTGTTCCCAGGCTCTTCCCTCTTTTTGAGGAAAGACCCTGGTCGGGGCTGGTCATGTGACCCATAGAAAATTGATAGCCTAAGAGGGGAATGGAAAAGTCTCATATTACATGTTTCCACTTCCGCACTTTACACTTCAATTGCAAGGAGTGGCCATTCTGTACAATCATCTTTGAGAACCATATATACTTCAAAATACTTGCTAAATTGGTTTCTGTTTGCTTTTAAATTATACAAACATTCTAAACTGTAGATTCTTATAGCAACAGACAAGTCAGAAAACCAAGCAACGAAAACGTATGATTGTATATGCTAGGACATATTTGCCCTTTTATTGTATTGGGGTTGGGCGCAGTTTCATTTCAGGCGTACGTTTCTCTATCTGGCTCTGGTTCAGATATTTATAATATTCTTATAATATGACATTGAATTGTTGTCATATGGAAACGTTATAAATTTTGTTAAATAGAGGTCTCAAAAGCGACTGTGTAGGTCGTAGCGCCTTGCTGGTCTTACAGCAAACGTTACACATTTGGACACTAGCCAAATAGACATTGAATGTCCATTCTATTGATTCTAAAACGGTTTATAGACATAGTGCTCTAGATTTTTTAAAAAGGTTATCATCGTTTATATTAAACACCAGGTAGGAAGGAGTCTCTGGGAAGGAGTGTTAACGTACAGAATTGTTTGGGATCGACAGTAAGGAATTATATGACAATTCACAACTGTGTGCATTTCCTTTTTTGTCTGCACGAGTACCTGTTTGTTAAGCCAAAATATTGCACAGAATTTCCGATATGAATTAAATAGCCATTCACCCTCGCCCCTTGAATGCAAAGGAATGATAGCCGAAAAGGTTTAGCAAAGTATTTTTTATTATCCCAAGCCGACGGCACGAAGCACCGTGCCAGGGTACTAATTCCCTGCTATTTACACCCGGGGAAACGAAAGCATTAGCGAAGTCTAAAGTTCATCAAATATCGCGGGCGTGGGTCACCAACCGTGGGTGGTCATCCTCACTGATCTCAAAAATATGGCGGACTGTCATGAATAGCAAACACTGTGATTGGTCCAATTTAAAGTTTGCATTATAACGACTGCATGACGACAGCGAAATAGCAAACATTTCTTTGTTTGATGATTGATAAATTTCTTGCCAATATATTTCGTTTTTGCTCGCATTTTTGCAAGATTTTGTAAATTTCAAGAAAGAAATGGCAAAAGAATCGGCTAAAAGAAGGGAGCCGACGTTAACAAAGGTAAGTTTGTTTTAAATATTGATTTTATAATTGCTTTAAAACCCGACGGCCTTTGCGTATATGAAACAACTTTCTTTAATATATCTTTAATATTGATTCCCTTTTTTATTATATTGAATTTTTTTAAATAAAAAAGAAGCAAAGTTATTTGCATGCTAGAATTTGAAATCATTTTATTGCAAACTCAAAGTTTATTGATAAAGCCATTTAATTAAAGAATAAAGGCAGTTTAGTTTTATAAAGAACACTTCAAAACGTTTTGCGAAGCGCTTGTGGTTGACTTTTACCTTAAATTGAAGCTTATATTACGTATAATATCATACCTAATATATATACGTTGGGAAATTGATAATTTTGTAATTAAAAGTGATATTTTTAAGCGATTTTTCATTTGTAAGAATATTCTTAAAAAATTATCATGTTACCATGGCAACTACTTTAGATACTTCATGTTCGGAAAATACAATGATTTTGTCAGCAAGGCGAGGGTTTCTGCATGCATGTATTTTCTAGTATCTGGTATAAAGTGTCCCTACGTTTTATCGGGGATATATATACATAATTCATAAACTGTATATGCGCACGAAGTCTAGCTCATAGAATTACTTAATGAGTTTTAATATTAAAGCCTTTTAAAGTTTCCATTGATAGATAGGTTGTTTGCCTCTAGTATCCTTTGGTGAAACTGCTAAAATGTCATTACAGTATATGATAAAGATTAAAGTTGATTTAAATATTGATGACTCACAGCTGCATGATGCAAGTCGAAAGAAGCTGTATTTTAAGCCGGGTTATTCTTCAAATATAAAGCCCCGAATGGGCAATGGCAATGAAAGGTCTTTATAAGGTTTATAATGTACCTGCTGTAAATTACTGTAATACACAAGATATGAAATAATTTACTATAAAGTACAATACCAGTGTCTGGTGCAATCTGGTGCATATATCGTCCTAAATATTCAAGTTATATGTACCGCACGCACGGAAACGCACAGTGAGTCTTGACGTTCGTCTGATGACAGATAGCTATACTTTGAGTCTTCGACATAATCATTCTTGATCAATGTGAATGACAGGAATTTTACAGTCCATAACGGGTTTTAATCCTGTGCTTTCACAGTCAAGATAGCACTATTGTTTACACACAGTTAGCGATGTTTGGGAATCTTGAAAGCATCCACTATAAAATAAATCCTTTGTTGAATATCGGACAGGATACACTTCAACTATAAACAACCATATCGTTCATTTGGTATCGTTTGATCGATCAGTCGGTATAGAAGACATTTCTACGGCGATGTGTGCTCACTTCGCAAGCCAGGCGCGTGTGGAGTCCTTTCCTTGGAAGTGAAATATGATCCAGCTTCTCGCTTGAAATTTTTATTTTTTAAAATTTTTTATTTTACCGCAACACTTATTATTGATGACATTCAGTATAGCAGCAAGTCGTGTCATGATGAATACGAATTTAAAACTGTTCCTTTCACGATTTCTTGTTGCAAATTACATTTTTATCATCCGAAACTATAACACATAAAATTCCAATTTTCCAAACGCAACAAACAGACTCCTCTACTACCCCCTCCCGGAGATCAATAGGCCCTTTAAAGGTTTATTCCGCCATATTGCCGGGTGTGCAAAACATTGGGGCGAGCGCACTGCCAAGCCATGGCTGCCATATATTTTACTAATGAGTGAGCGATAATTTTGTGTGGACATTTTGTTGATTTTCTCATGCTATATTAAAAGACAGTCCAAATGTGTGTATTCTAGCTGATCTGTGTGTATTTTCAAACAACTGGTAAAGATTTCAATGGAATCTGATTGGGGGAAATCCGTGAATATGCTGATTTCTTCGACACCTTTAGGCGAGCTGTTTACAGTGGATTCACGACAACGAAACACCGAAAACAGGGCTTTTACATTTCTGTTTGTTTAAACAAAACATTACAAAAAAATCAGTGTTTAAAAACAATACAACAAAGTCGTTGGGAAAGAAGAAAGACGTCCAGGTGCGAGAGTGTAACCTGATACGAATGTCAATCTCACCTTTAATTATATGACATACTATTAGTAATTAGATATAAGAGATAAACTTCTAAAAGTAGGCAAATCCAAAGGGTATATAATATTGAGAGATATTGAGAGTTCCAGTTGTTCTCATTGGCAGTACCACCCCCATAGCCAACTGAGAGCAAAACACAAGCAGAAGGAACAGTATCTACAATGCTGTTCAATAATCTTAAAAACCTGCCTGAAGTATTTAATACATTTTTTGTGATTATCAATCAAATTCATCAAAATAGCACAAGAGACTCATCAAAACTTCACAAGTGGTATAAAAAAACAAATTATGTAAAACATATTCTCTCTGATAATGGAGTTGATGTATGGAACTCACTAGAATAAAAAATAAAGACATAAACTCTCAATACATCTTCAAAAAACAAATTAAGCAGCATTTTTTGATGAAAACATTCTATTTGCATATTATTCTATTTGCATATTATTGTTCCTCTATTACTCTGAAAATTATCTCTCTGATTTGACTGTAAAATAAAATAATATATTATAAATCTTACAGTTAACTATAAACCTTTACTAGGGGCCTAAAGCAAAAAGCCTGACAAAGTATCTAGTAGGTCTTTAGCCCAAATTAATAAAAGGAAAAATATGTAAATATTGTCTATGGAACTGTACATAGGGATTGCTTGGATTTACTTCTTTTCATGTTCCTTTGTTCCATCCTTGGGGAACACTGGTACAGGCACACAGGCAGGGGAAATATATTGCTTGTTGTAAGCATAGTTGATATTATGCATAGAGGACTACAAGTACATGATTACATGCCAACTGTTCCAGCTGTTCAAGGACACACATCCACACTTTTATATGTGAGTCATCATAAATCCTTCGTGATGGACATACTGAGCTTTACAAAAAAATGTCATGGTCTTGTCAATGGGGCATTTGGCAACATAAATTATATCAACAAATCCACTCATCCAATATGAGTAGGCCCTCTCATCTTTGTATTTGCCAATATATTCAACATCCACTGCCTTTACTCGTAGAATGTAGCATTCCATCATCAAGATGTGGCCATGTTTGAATGTCATCTTTCCAATATTCATCGCACAGAGTGTTAGGATCGCTCTTAATAATATCATTAGTTTGTAGCCTTTGTTGGTATTCCTTCTTAATACCTTCAAAAATTTGTTCCTGTGTAAATTTCTTTGGAGCACCCAATTCATACGCTTTAAATGCTCTTGCCACAAGTTCAACCTTTTCCCCACTCTGTTAACCCAACGAAATCCTCGTATTCAAGCTTCTCCTTTGTAGCCATAAACAGCCAAAGTAAAATGACTATTTGCAATATAATTTCTTATGAGAACATAAAATATAAACAACTCAAACTCTCAATATCTCCCAATATATACCCTTTGGATTCGCTCAGTTTTATGTGATATAAAGGTGAGATTGACATTGGTATCAGGTTACACTCTAGCACCTGGATGTCTTTCTTCTTTCCCGACAGCTCTGTTGTCTTGTTTTTAAACATGATTCATTTGTAATCTTGTTTTGTTTAATTTAAACAAACAGGGACATAAAAGCCCTCCCTGTTTTCAGCGTTTCGTTGTCGTGAATCCACTGTAAACAGCTCGCCTAAAGGTGTCGAAGAAATCAGCATATTGGCGGAGTTCCCCCAATCAGATTCCATTGAAATCTTTACCAGTAGTTTGAAAATAGACACAGATCAGCCAGAATACAAAAATTTGGACTATCTTTTAATATAGCATGAGAAAATCAACAAAATGACCACACAAAATTATCGCTCACTCATTAGTAAAATATATGGCAGCCATGGCTTGGCCGCGCGCTCGCCCCAATGTTTTGCACCCCCGGCAATATGGCGGAATAAACCTTGAAAGGGCCTATTATATTAAATTAAGCATATTTTTCATCCCATGATAATTATTTTAGGAAATAAGAAAATTTAATTTCTGCCAGGCAGAAATTAAATCTAGATATTTTATGCATAATTAGCAATAAAAAATGGTGGTGCATGGTCATTTCTTGTAAGATATTATACTTAGACAAACTTTTCCTTCCAATAACCACCCCTAACCCTTCTCAACAATATAAGCACTTCAGAAAGGCTATCGCTTTTCCTTTTTGGAAGTTAGAGCTATCTCGACACTGCCGTTTCAGGGTGGGGTTATTTTCAGGACTTTCATCCCCGATTCAGGTTTTGGCACATATGCCATGTTGACCGCCATGGTCATTTTACCCTATAGCAGTTGAGAATACATGTGCTAAAGAAAACGCATACAAACTCACATACAGGTCCTAGACTATAAATTGTTGCAAGTGCACTCTTCCCGTCAGCCCCTTCGCCTTTCTCTCGCTTCTACAATACTTCATGTAAACTCGTCATACGCGCATCGCTGTTTTTTTTACAAAGAGACGCCTAGGTAAGAGGCAGTTAGCACTATGCAAAAGGCGTCCTCTGTTGTTTTTTTTTCAAGATCCATCTCCCAACTTTTCGCACGTTTTCACCAATCAAGAGTAACTTTGTCTTCTCGGGGTTTATCAACAGTTCATTTACAGGAGTTCTTCTTTCAGATTCTACTAAAATTTGAAAGCTTGTGTGAAGAAAAAGATAACAGAAAACCCAGATATCCCAAGAAGTAGTTGTCTGTCCGTACATGAGCTGGAAAGTCAAAACCTTTCGGATAAAGCAAAATCAGAAAAGCAGGCAAAACAGTCTTGCGAAAGAACAATTGCAAAAGCTTGATTCGACTACCGACTCGAAAGATGTTATCAGAGTTGAAGGTAGAGTTGATCTTACGATACCAGACATCCAGTGTTATTGTCTAGGGATCACTGGACATCTAAACTCATTACTCGTCGAGCTCACCAATGTGGACACTCTGGAGTAGCCGCAACTGCATGTAGGCAAAGATTCGACGAAAATATTGGATACTCAGAGTCCAAAACCTTGCTAAATTAGTCAAGTTGAATGCGTGTTCTGCAAGAAAATGCAAGCAACGTGTAAAAGCCAGAAAATGGCCGACCTTCCTGAAATTAGTCTCGTACCATATACTCCACCATTTCCCAATACAGCGTGTGATTATTTTGGTCCGTATCACGTCAAGGTTGGACGAAACAAAAGCACGAATCAAAGACCTTATTCATAAATCGTGATGAGGCCTGGTATCCTAGGAAACGGGAATAAACGCTGGAAAATTGACAAAGAAATTTTTGCCGAAAGTTGAAATTATACTTCAGAGACAATATAATGTAATATTTAACGTAAAAGATGCTGGGATCAATCGGAAAAGGAAACTTTTGTTTTGTTGTGGTTTATATGGCCAAAACAAACAACCAACATGGGCCACAATCGTACAAAATATCAAACTATTGTTGAAAAAATAAGATAACAACTGACTCAGGTATTGTATCTTTTACTTTTTAAACTTGTAAGCTGCTTGCAGAATGTACGAATCAATAACATTTGACGTTCTCGTCTGATTTCTGACCTCTTGTTCACTTATAACTAGCAGTTGACTATTCAGTTATGCAACTTATACAAGTCTTGGATCGATTTTTTTGCAATTCCTGTTAGACAATGGTTGCATTGATTCTAAGTGACATTGGGACACAGTTAGTAGGGGCTAAAGAGAATAAAGAATTGATAGGATGGAATAAAGAAAAAAATAAGGGAGTTTGCAGCAGAAAAAAGAATTAAATGGCAATTTATTACACCCACAGCGCCCAACCAGAATGGTTGCGCAGAGTATGATTAAAAGTTGTAAACGAGCACTTAAAAGAAGGCAGTTGGAGAACAGAAACTAACACCATTTGAACACCTGTTTATTAGAGATCGCAAACCTGATAAACCAACGACCAATTGGCCGCGTTACAACTGATCCAAGCGAAGGTTCGTATATTTGTCCTAATGATCTTCTGCTTGAACGTGGGTCGTCGAAAGTACCACAAAGACCGTTCAAGAAGACTCGAGATCCACGTAAACGTGTTGAGTTCGTTCAGAGATTAGTAGATGATTTTTGGAAACATTGGCAAGATGTTTTCCCAGCGTTAGTTCCCCGTAGAAAGTGAAATGCAGATAGAAGAAACGTTCGTGTCAACGATGTTGTAGTAATTGAAAACTCGAACGCAATACGAGGAAGCTGGACAGTTGGTAGCCTGCGTAGCAGGCGTTTAGTGCGGGAGGGAGAAGAAAGGGCGTCGTTAAATAAACGCCTGCCCAAATGCCTATGATTAATTTGTTCTTCTCCGAAGAATCTTCGGAAAAACTTCCCATTGGTTAATCTCGTTAACGGAATTAATTACGTAACTCAAATGTCAACAATAATTTTGCTCGCGTTGACGCGTTTATAGTCGCGTATCAAAAATATGCTGCCTGTTAATGCTTTCGAGGAAACTTTCTTATATTTCAAGTATTTAGGCTTCGAAATTCAGTTGAACCAGAACAGAGAAATTATATTATTAATTTGCTACGTGGTGAAGACGCCGGTTATCGCGATTCTTCCTAGGAATACGGAAAAATTTGATCTTTCAATTATACATTTTCAATATATCCTGAATATTTCTTTAATATAGTTGTCTTGTTATTTGTTCACTTTAAAGTATAATTCAAGACCAGATAGTTGAAGCTATATCATGCACTTGGCATTGCAGCTATGAGGTTGAATGATGATTTTAAGAATAACATTTCAAAACATGCTCAACTGTCATATTTGCTATACGTTAAACAACCGTGCATGCAAAACATGCTCAACATGCTCAACTGTTATATTCAGAATACGTTAAACAACCGTGGTTCAGGAGTCTTTTAAAAGATAAAAGCTCTGTGCACGTTGTGAATGACTGTTGTCTAAAATAGCTTCAAAAACTCATTAATAATTCATGAGGAAAACACAAAGAAAAATCATAAACGTGTCGTATACTTGATATGCGATAGAGATTTCCCTTGATTTGCATAAATTTTAATGATTTTCTCTACATATACACATCGAATTTTTTGAAAGCTACTTCGCCAATAAAGGCCTGAATCCACGGGCGCTTTTTCTCGGCGAAATGCGAAATATTTCGCCTGTTTCTTTTGAATTGTGGGCAATCAAGTAGAAATAATTTATTCGAGTGGTCGCAATTCAAAAGAAACAGGCGAAATATTTCGCATTTCGCCGAGAAAAAGCGCCCGAGGAACCAGGCCTTAACGTATACTAGATCGATCGTTTTTGAAGCAATTTAAAACATTCGCAGTGCGTGTTTTATCAGACCATCTTTATATCTGATAAAACACTGCTGCTCGTGTTTTAAATAGTGCATAAAATCTCTGCAATTCTCCGTAGTTGCCGAGCAAAAAGCATGCATGATGCTAAATATAAATCTCGACTATATATGATTGGATAATGGGTGAAGGTGCTAATTACAAAACGTCAATCATCCTTAATGGGCGAAAACAAATTTGTCATAGCCAATTTGGGCAAGCGTTTCCGCTGTACCCGCCCGTCCGGTAAACGCCTGCTACGCAGCCTAGACAGTTGGCGAAGTTATAAACGTGTGTCCTGGCAAAGACGGTAAGGTTCGAAACATTAGAGTGAAGACAAGTTCTGGAGAATATGAAAGACCTGTAAGTAGAATTGCTGTTATTTATCCAGTAGAAGGTTACAAAGAGAACTATAGAACTATGAGAGAGAGTCTATTGATATTTTGTTGACTTTAGATTAAATAAGTAACAATAATCTATTGGTTAATCCTCGAGCGCCGTGCGAGGGTACTAATTGCCCCTGGCTATTTACACCCGGGGAAGCGAAGCATTAGCGAAGTCTAAAGTTCATCAGTAGGTGGTCATCCTCACTGATCTCAAAAGTATAGCAGATTGCTTGTAGGAGTGGGATAAGCAAGATTTCAATTTTAAAAGATCTTTATTTGGAAAATTGTTTCATAAACAACAAGCTTGAAGCAATTTTGTTTGAAGAAATGAGAAGAATTGATTTATTATGGGAAATCGTGAAATATACGGCAAGTTTTCTTTGAATAGTTAACGAATTTTGTTGCTTTAACTTTTTGCCTAAAAAGATGAACTGTTTTCCTTTTCAACGAAGCTCTAAGTTTCATAAATTACCGTTTAATTTGCGAAAAAATCTCAAAATGTAAAGGCGAACAAATTGATTTGAAGATTGAACTGAAATTACCAAACAATTTGTTTTTTTTTGTATTAAACTTATTCAGTAGCGTATCCAGTCCGACGATTTAGTCCCGCTATGCAAATATTCTCGTGTTCATTGACTCTGTGAAAACAATCAATTTCTAAAGAAATGAATAATGATGATAATTTTAAATTTGCATAGCGGGACTAAATTATCGGGCTGGCTACGCCACTGAAATGTTTTATTATAAAGTCAAACAGTTTATCGGCAAAATGTAGTTTAGTTGAATGAACATTTCAAAACATTTTACGAAGTGTTTCAAGTTAAATCAGTTAAATTTTACATTAAATCAAAGGTCACAAAATGCAAAATAAAATATCTACAATATATATTTCGGAAATTTATTGTTGTATAGTTAAAAGTATGAATCTTTCAACTATTTTGCAGTTTTGTAGAAAAAATATTAAAAAAAAATTAAAATTTAAGAATATGGTGTTGTCATGGCAACACTTGAGCGCGAGCCTGCGTTCAGTGTTGGTCATTTCTGAATATTTCATGTTACTTTAATGTTTGGAAAATATTTGGCGAGGGGTTACTGCATGCATGTTTTTCTAGTTATTTAATAATAGACAGTGAATATGATTGACAATTTTGCATGTTTCATGAGTCGAAAAAAACATAAGAACAAGGCGTGTGTATGTTCTGACAGTATCCGCGTATCGAGTGAAATAGTGGCTATAATATTACAGTATAATATAACTAGTGGACGGGTATTCTGCAATTTAGCCCTTTAAAATTTCACGTGACTCCGTATAGCGACAATGACCAAATATGAAGCAGAATAGAAAAATAAACGAGACTTACCTGTAAGGTGAAGTTTGATTTTGTCTCTGCGAATCAATGGTCAAATTTCACTTTACAGGTAAGTCTCGTTTAATATTTCAATTTCATTCGCACATTTGTTCATCTTAACAACTCAGCCTTGAGGAGATTCGAGAAGTGAAAGGCAAATGTTTGTTGTGTCAACTTGAATGCTGAGTCGTTAGAACATATGCATGGTTTTACTACCTAAATTCCAGGGTCCAATAAAATGTCCACCAAATAATATTTGAGGTTTTAATAGCATAGTTCTGAGCATATTACCTAGGTTTATAATAGCGCTGTTTCTTTCAGTTTCAAGAAATCAGGTCATTGCTACAGTTCATTTAAATAACCTTCTATAGACTAATTTTATTAAAAGCCTAGACAACATTATCTTGGAAACATGAGTTTTATAGTATGCCATGAAATCTTAAACTGTGCAAACATATAGTTTATTATACTACCAATTCACATATAGCTACATCAGCATGAGGTGTGATATCAGCCAAAATTCATATATTCAATTATGCCATTGGAAATTGCATTTATGAAGTTCAGTTATGCTATTATGATATTCGATATTATGTTATTCGAATTTCATTCGGCATGAAACAGTCATTATTGAAATAGTCATTCAGTATTAGCGGGAAAAGCACACGGGAAATTGTAACTCCAACATGGCCGAGCGAACATGTCATGATATCAAGCGCCTTTTAATGTACAGTAGACGTATTGTAAATGTAGACGTATTGTGTAGACGTATTGTAAATGTAGACGTACTGTATTGTGTAGACGTATTGTGTAGACGTATTGTGTAGACGTATTGTGAATGTAGACGTATGTACAGTATTGTGTAGACGTATTGAAATGTAGACGTATTGTGTAGACTATATTGTGTAGACGTATTGTGTAGACGTATTGTGAATGTAGACGTATTGTGTAGACGTATTGTGAATGTAGACGTACAGTATTGTGTAGACGTATTGAAATGTAGACGTATTGTGTAGACTATATTGTGTAGACGTATTGTGTAGACGTATTGTGAATGTAGACGTATTGTGTAGACGTATTGTGAATGTAGACGTACAGTATTGTGTAGACGTATTGAAATGTAGACGTATTGTGTAGACTATATTGTGTAGACGTATTGTGTAGACGTATTGTGAATGTAGACGTATTGTGTAGACGTATTGTGAATGTAGACGTACAGTATTGTGTAGACGTATTGAAATGTAGACGTATTGTGTAGACTATATTGTGTAGACGTATTGTGTAGACGTATTGTGAATGTAGACGTATTGTGTAGACGTATTGTGAATGTAGACGTACAGTATTGTGTAGACGTATTGAAATGTAGACGTATTGTGTAGACTATATTGTGTAGACGTATTGTGTAGACGTATTGTGAATGTAGACGTATTGTGTAGACGTATTGTGAATGTAGACGTACAGTATTGTGTAGACGTATTGAAATGTAGACGTATTGTGTAGACTATATTGTGTAGACGTATTGTGTAGACGTATTGTGAATGTAGACGTATTGTGTAGACGTATTGTAAATGTAGTCGTATTGTGTAGACGTATTGTAAATGTAGTCGTATTGTGTAGACGTATTGTGAATGTAGTCGTATTGTGTAGACGTATTGTGAATGTAGTCGTATTGTGTAGACGTATTGGGAATGTAGACGTATTGTGTAGACGTATTGTAAATGTAGTCGTATTGTGTAGACGTATTGTAAATGTAGTCGTATTGTGTAGACGTATTGTAAATGTAGTCGTATTGTGTAGACGTATTGTGAATGTAGTCGTATTGTAAATGTAGTACGTATTGTGAATGTAGACGTATTGTGTAGACGTATTGTAAAATGTAGACGTATTGTACATGTAGACGTATTGTGTAGACGTATTGTAAAATGTAGACGTATTGTGTAGACGTATTGTGAATGTAGACGTATTGTAAATGTAGACGTATTGTGTAGACGTATTGTAAATGTAGACGTATTGTGTAGACGTATTGTGTAGACGTATTGTGTAGACGTATTGTGTAGACGTATTGTGTAGACGTATTGTGTAGACGTATTGTGAATGTAGACGTATTGTGTAGACGTATTGTGAATGTAGACGTATTGTGAATGTAGACGTATTGTGTAGACGTATTCTGAATGTAGACGTATTGTGTAGACGTATTGTGAATGTAGACGTATTGTGTAGACGTATTGTGAATGTAGACGTATTGTGAATGTAGACGTATTGTGTAGACGTATTCTGAATGTAGACGTATTGTGTAGACGTATTGTGAATGTAGACGTATTGTGTAGACGTATTGTGAATGTAGACGTATTGTGAATGTAGACGTATTGTGTAGACGTATTCTGAATGTAGACGTATTGTGTAGACGTATTGTGAATGTAGACGTATTGTGTAGACGTATTGTGAATGTAGACGTATTGTGAATGTAGACGTATTGTGTAGACGTATTCTGAATGTAGACGTATTGTGTAGACGTATTGTGAATGTAGACGTATTGTGTAGACGTATTGTGAATGTAGACGTATTGTGAATGTAGACGTATTGTGTAGACGTATTCTGAATGTAGACGTATTGTGTAGACGTATTGTGAATGTAGACGTATTGTGTAGACGTATTGTGAATGTAGACGTATTGTGAATGTAGACGTATTGTGTAGACGTATTCTGAATGTAGACGTATTGTGTAGACGTATTGTGAATGTAGACGTATTGTGTAGACGTATTGTGAATGTAGACGTATTGTGAATGTAGACGTATTGTGTAGACGTATTCTGAATGTAGACGTATTGTGTAGACGTATTGTGAATGTAGACGTATTGTGTAGACGTATTGTGAATGTAGACGTATTGTGTAGACGTATTCTGAATGTAGACTATTGTGTAGACATATTGTGAATGTAGTCGTATTGTGTAGACGTATTCTGAATGCAGACTATTGTGTAGACGTATTGTAAATGTAGGCGTATTGAAAACAACTGGGTTGAGGAACTTAGACGTCGCCGACCATTATGCCCATAAAACGCAAAACGATTTCTAAAATTTCCCAAGTGAACACTCTTTCTGGATTTGATGTATTGACGGGCCTGACGGTAATGACGCCAGATGATGTAGTAGCATGCATTCGCTTTGAGAAATTACATTTGGACTCGCTACTTGTGCTAAAGAAACATCATTTGATGATCCAGGCCATTCTCTGATCAATCTTATCGCCTCTTACAACAAAGAAACAGCATGCTATTGACTTAAATTGGCTTAATTCGCTTTCGGCCATGCTGGAATTACAATTTCCCGCGTGTTTTTCCTGCTAAACCGGAAGTCGAATATGCCGAATGACTATTTCAATAATGACTGTTTCACGCTGAATAAAATTTCAATAATGACTGTTTCACGCCGAATGAAATTTCAATTATAATGACTGTTTCACGCCGAATAAAATTTCAATAATGACTCAGTGTTTCATGCCGAATTAAATTCGAATATCCTAATATCGAATATCATAATCGCACAACTGGACTTCATAAATGCAATTTCCAATGGCATAATTGAATATATGAATTTTGGCGGATATATCACACCTCATACATCAGTGGATATCACTATTTTACCAATGCTTTACTATCATGTGCAGTCAAGTCCTTAAATAATTAAACACATTCAGGCAGGGATGGATCTAGCATGATCTGATAGGGGGGAGGCCGGGAGGGGGGTGCTCTGCCAGCTCTGGTGCGAGTTGTGTCAGTCATGTGTGCTTCCCGCCCATGAACTTGCTTCACTACTGCAAAGTCTTGCTTGACTACTGTATTTGAATTGTAATTGTTGTTCACAATTTGCTTATCATCATGTTATATCTCAAATTACTGTTAGTATCTCATTTTGTCTCTAATAATTTTTTGCTTTATCATGACAAATAGCCCCCCCCCCCAGTGCAACCCTAGCCCCAGTAAATCCATCCCTGCATTCAGGAAGTCTGTGCAAGCAGTGGCGGCGCCAAGGGCGGGCAAATGCCCACCCAATTATCCCCCCATTTTGCCCCCCCCCCACTCAAAAAAAATTATTAATCACTGAAAGCAACTAAAAGGCTACACAAGCGTTTTGTCGTTGTCGGAAAATGTATGGCTTATACGTTGTCATTACTCATTGGTGATTGCACGTATACATGAAACTGTTTTTTACAGTTTCAATATTAGTTTGTAAATCTCTGAATGATAAAACTTGCCCATACTCCAATAATACGTTTCAAAAAATACAAAAAAGCTTTAGTTTTGGAAAGTTAAATTCTCAAACATGTAAGGCACTAATGAGATAAAAGTATCACAAACTTATTTGAATAAACCACATCGCATATATGGGGGGGGGGCAAATATCCTTAAGGGGGGTGGATATTCCTGGGACATTCGTCCTCTGGGGGGCGATATTCAAAAAATATTCACCCCCGGGGGCGATATTCCAAGGAATAGGTACCGCCCCGGCCCTTTTGAGAGGGGGACGAATCTCATGGGGAGGGAAGTCCTGTGACAACGGCATGGGCGAATAGTAGTACCTTTTCAAAAATTCTATCTTGGCCCCCAAATACGAGTTTGCCCCTCAAATGGCCCCCCAAATTCTGAGGCCTGGTGCCGCCACTGTGTGCAAGACATTTTGTAGCCTGTGTAGCAAGTGATTTATTTTATTGAATAATTTGAGGATTTTCGAATAAATATTATTCAAAAATCCTCAAAACCTTCAACAAAATAAAGCGATCGGTACACAGGGTAGACATTTTGATGTTGACATAACAACATCTGTGACCAGACAATAACATATGTTGAAATATGTGGCAATGTTTACTTTAGTATACACGAAACAGCTACAACTACACGTTAAAGTTAATAGGGATAAAGCATTTGATAAACGTACTATCATAACATGACATGACAAGAGATAAAAATGTCAAATCATCAAAATGATTCAATTGTATCAAGTCAAGGCCAATGAAACCAGAAATGAATGAGACAAAAAATTCAGCAGAAATAAATATTCATATCCTTATATCTATAACTAAACCAAAGTCCACCA